TCAGTTCGAGGCATGGATTGTGAGAATCTTTTTGGGATGGGAGCCTCTAGTCTCGCCAAGACATGAACAAGGCATTGTGATTCGGCGTACGGATGTGCCCCCTCTAGTCGTAGTCAGCAGTAATACTCGTCGGGGTCAGAGTACTTTACGTCACGAAAATCGTCTTCTCGCTCTATCAGGAGGTGAGGATTATATGTGTCGAAATTGTTTTGGTTGTTTTCTGGATATGAATCAGTAGAAAGACTAGTTTGATTAGAGTTTCTTTCTATCACTAGTACTCGGGTCCTTCGGAAAGAATATTGACCAGTTTATGTTTCCTCTGCCTGACATGGCTAACAATGTTAATGTTTTTCTATCCTTCTACGTAAAGGATACATGCTTATATAAGTAAAAATAACAATGCAAATTGCACATAATGCCCTATATAATAAAAAAAGCGGAACACACTTAGGGGTCCGAGGTATTAGAAAAAATAATGCAAGCATTAGCTCTGTGCATTACTAATACCTTGTTTGGTACATTTTTTCAACTTATGTATAACTAATACTTGCATTACTAATCCATGCATTACTAATCCCTGCATTACTAATACACCGTGTTCCGTACTATTTTTATGCACCCTGCCAAACGACCCCTTAAGAAGATATATTATATATCATCAGACATCTCATAATCTGAATCCCAATAAGATATTGCGACGTATTCATCATTACAAGATCTATGTCGGATGCTGCGTATTTTCATATGATTGTTCTCTTCGCACATACGATTCAACGCCACATTTAACAATTGTGGTGTATTGCACCACATAGATTTTGCAACACTCTTTGGTCTTTTAACATCGAGTCCCCGCAGCTTTTCTTCGAGTACGTTAGCCTGAACTACACGCCAGTTCCATTCAGGTGTCATTTCATATTTGTAACGTAACGTCGATTGTAACGGTGATTTGTGTTGTTCGAGTATTCGAACTCGAAAAATGGTTCCACTCTGACATAGCTAATGGATTACGTTATTGGTTGGTAGACATTAGTGACACTTTATACTAACCACTCTGAATGATTTAATTTGTTCCTTTATGAAGTATGCACGATAATATTCGTGGTTCAGTTGCATAACACATCTTATACTATTACATATTGTACTAGTAAAAAAATCTTTAGGGTACAAGTGCATATACGTCTTTTCGGTTCGACAAGATAAGACCCGAATTTAATTTGTACCATTTCTGAAGTACCTACGATAATATTCGTAGTACCATTGCATGCCTTTCTTATACATGCGCCATGTTGTACTAGTAAAAGTGTCTTTATGGTACAAGTGCATATACATCTTTTTAATGTGTAAACTCAAGATAAGGAAAATCAAATCAATGTTCAAATTAAAATAATTTTCACCGAATGTGTCCATATTACAAGTACGTTTGCTAATGTATTTCTCAACCACCCACATATTACTTTCCGACTTTCTCCCATGAAGCATCCACTGCAACCTTGATCCCATCGGCGACAAATCACCTTATATGTTTATTTTGATGACTCGGCAACCTCGATCTCCCGACGGTTTTTATGCTGAAAATTCGCACTGCTTTAATCACTCCAGCCTTGTCATTGAAAAGCATGTTTGTGTGGAGATCCATTAGTCTACTTTCATCCCGAATTGTTGTACGAATTTCAGCAAGATCCCTTATAAGGGCATCCGCACCCAGCGTACATGGCAAGTGATCAAGGTAGGGAATCTCCCTAGAATGGAATGTCAAACGCAACTGGTACCCCGATGGTCTCGCAGTAGGTGGAGAAGATGGAGCATGCTCAGTGAAGGCATCATGTTCCATTGTCAAATCTAGTTCCTCATTGTTACTATTATCTGTGAAGGGTGCTTCATCGCCTGACTCATCGGCGTTGTTGTCGTAGTCATTATCATCTTCCTCACTCTGTGCATATGCATATCGTGATTCAATATATCATCATCCTCTAACTAAGTTAGGATAGGATTGTCATGTTGCTCATTTTACCTGCACAAACGATCAACTAATTAATACTCTGGACATCTCAATACAATTTATTAGCTGTAATGCTTAAACCTACTATTCATAACTTGTATATTCCACATGATGCTGAGTCCCGGATGAAAAATCATTATTCATCCTTTCAAAACTAAAAACATATTTCAAGATTGTCAAATTGGTAATGACTCGAGGATGGACCAGCATAATCCCTCCCTCCAAAAGTAGGTAGATTTCCATTGTTAGTTTTTTTATAACTAGTAAAAGGTCGATAACCTTTATGAAAGAAATACATATTGTTATTATATATAGAAAATAAATATTTACACTATAATCAGTAAGTAAGTATTTACCACTTAGACTGTGAATCCTGTAAATTTGTCGATCCTCCATGCTGCTGCATTGGCGAGAAGTTGTGTCCTCTCTCCTCGTTAAGCCATGGAGATACGTTCAGATCAGGGCAGACTCTTTCATAGGGAACCTATTATGATAAAACAACTCTAAACACCTCCAAGAGGTTGAGTGTTAGTTGTAGTTTTCGGAACATCAATCATATTAACGGCTTCGGACCTTACGTACATTTCCAGCATGCTTATCACAACATCCTCGTGTTCGTCCAGAGTCCTTAAAAGATTTGGCAGAGTTTATCGTCACCGATGTTAAACTCAGCATAACATGCCACACTTTGTGGAGTAAGAGAACACGGATATATTCCGATTACCTTAAGATTTACCAAATGTTTATTCACACTCATTCTTTTACGTACCGGAGATACTAATTTTTGGTATTTCAATGTTTGTGAAAATTTAACAACACTTTGTGAAGAATAACTATAGTGCACCGAGTTATACTCCACCATAGCCTCACCGCCCCAGAATAACGCAAGTTAAACTCTTCTCTCATCCGTCATTATAGAAATGCTCAGAGGGAACTTCGTATAGGTTGATGAAGATAAATAGAAATATAAATAATGTTGGAAAAAAATGGCAAACTCGGTTCAAATTCACTCAAGAATGACTTCTTCACGAATGAAAATCCGACATAAGTAAGCAACTAAAACTGCCTTAGGCACATAAAAAATGTGTGTACTATAGGTTCTTTGTGGTATAATTTTCAGGGTTGTGATTCAAACATTCAGAAAATGAGCATATGACGCATGTTATTCATGCGCTATACCTGATCATCATTGATGTTAAAATCAGCATAACAGGCCACACTTTGTAGTGTAAGCGAACACAGATATCTTTTGGTTACCTTAAGATTCACCAAATATTTATTCACACTCATTCTTTTACGTACCAGAGATACTAATTTTTGGTATTTCAATGTCTGTGGTAATTTAACAACACTTTGTGGAGAATAACTATAGTGCACCAAGTTATACTCCACCACAGCCTCACCGCCCCAGTATAACACAAGCTAGACTCTTCGGTCATCCGTCATTGTAGAAATGCTCAGAGGGAACTTCGTATAGGTTGATTAAGATAAATAGAAATATAAATAATGTTGAAGAAAAATGGCAAACTCGGTTCAAATTCACTCAAGAATGACTTCTTCACGAATGAAAATCCAACTTAAGTAAGCAACTAAAACTGCCTTTGGCATATAAAAAATGTGTGTAGTATAGGTGCTTTGGTATAATTTTCAGATTTGTGATTCAAACCGTCAGAAAATGAGCATATGGTGCATGTTATTCATGCGCTATAATTGTATTTTATAGATATTATAGCACAATTACCTGGGCAATTATTTAGAAAGCCAGAAAATTTGTACTGTAGAAAGAAAATGTATATCGCATAAAATACATAGCGTTATATGTTCTTAGGCTAACAAACGGACGTTACATTTGGCCGTTAGCAAGATGTTGTATAGAGCATATATTTCATGCTCCCTTGTTTTCCCCTATTTTGATCGTTTGAATTCGATTAATCACTACTTTAGTTTCGGACTCTTGCTTCTCCCATCTAGAAGATGGTTCCTAGGACAAATTAAATTAAGACAAAAGAGTGTTGTCTAGGGGTGGGCATGAAACCCAAAAAATTGAATTCCGAATCGAACCGAATTAATTCGGTATTTCGGTATCAGTTTATTCGGTATTTTGATATAATTCGGTATTAATTTTTTGGTATTTCGATATTTTGGTACGGTTCTCGGTATTGAGGTTTCGATACTTCGGTATACTAAATATTTTAAGTAAACCTAGGTAGTAAAACTAAGCCCAAATAAAACTAAGCCCAAGTCCAACCCTTAAGCCCTAGCCAGTAAAACTAAGACATGTCCAACCGAACACTGAAAGTAAAAATGATCATCTTTGACATTACGAGTGGAATATCATTTCCATTGAATGTTGATCCTGGAATTATTACTCAGCCATCCTTGATGGATCTATTAGATTAGAGTGTAAAGATTCAATTATCTGCTTACACAATAAATAGAAGAACTTGTCTACAGTACTCTACGAACGAAATCAAAATTTATTAGCAAATCATTCACCATTTGAAGATATTATTTCTTTATTGTTATTACTAATAACGGCACCGAAACCGTACCGAAATCATACCGCACTAAACAAGAAAATACCGAACTAATTTGATACGGTATTACACAATTGATATACCGAATATCGAAGTATCGAACCGTAATTCTTAAATACCGTACCGAAGTACCGAACGCCCACCCCTAGTGTTGTCAACAAATAATCGTCAAGAATGTATAAAAATGAAACTGATATGACAATTATATCCTTCGAATAAAAAGATATCCTTCACACAATTTTGAACCCCATCCGAAACCCAAGCGCATTTTTATCCTCCAAAGTGAAATAACCAATTCCAATATAAAAATTGACTACTCAAATATACAAACCATTAATTATGTACTACATAGTAAATTTAGTCATGTAGGCTTCCTTTTCCCTTGTATTATATGTTGTCAAGTTTCCTTTCTTATAATGAAAATTTACTCAATTTTTTCTTAGTATTACTGAAAGTCTTTAGGAGGAAACAAAGGAGAAATATTCTCAAAGATACTTCGGAAAAATTGTCTCTATTTCTTTGTCTGCTATACATCTCTATGGAGAGGATTAGAGGAGAGGTTAGAGGGCAAAAGAAATACTATAAAATAAAATTTAAAAACTAAAAAGGAATGAAAAGGTGAAAAACTAAAAGTTTGGGGAAAAATAGCAATAATGGCCTGGCTCTAGCGATAAAAATTTATCCGCGCTCAAATATTTAGACCAAGCCAATAGTAGCTATAGTAAAAACTTCTTTTGTTATTCTTGACGAGGTCGCGCCACCCAAAGAGAGCTAAGAGCTCGAAGCCTATGGAAATATTCAGCAATTGCCAAAAAGCACCTCGCCGCTTGACGACTTGTCAAAATTTGATGCAGCCGATGAATTGTTTGGTGCCTCAAATTCTCAGCCTGTAAGTAAAAATAATCATTAATAAATTATTTTCTTTGGTCAATCACTTGTACTCCATATGTCTCAATCTTTGTATGATATTTCTTCCTTTTTCGTCTATAATACAAGAAGATGTTATTCATCAATATTTAGTACAATAACTCAACTTTAATACACAAAATGAGACAAGAGAGTATTAAATACGTAATTAAGTAAGAAGTCAATTCATGTTTGACTTTTTATGCTTTTATGTAAGATTTTTAAATCACCATAATTTTTAACAAAATAAGTAGCACCCTATGACTATTGAGACTCTGGTTGTTATTGATTTGATGGTTGAATTGACTTGAGAGCACGCTCGTAACATTTTATTATAAATTCAGAATGTGAAAGTATTTTTATTTTTTTGCAATTTTATTCCCTGCTGTGTTTGGTTGGTATAAAATTTATACCGCCAATCAAATACGGTATAAATTTAATCCCAGACTTAATCCAAGATATCTCATCTTATCCCATCAAATTTGGGATTATTTTATCTCACCTCTCATATGGTATAAATTAGTCCTGGGATTATAATCCCAAGATAATTTAGTCCGCGTACCAAACGACCCTAAGGCATGCTAGTTTCCTTATGCTATATGTTGGATATGAGCCGGGAAATCTGAAATTTTAATGTTATAGAACATGTACACAATAACCAGTGGCGGGACCACCTTATAGGAAGGGGTGTCAAATGATACCCCTTCGCGAAAAAAATATATTGTGTAGGTAGGTAAAAAAATAAATTATATGTATATATACTATGTATTGACTCCCCTTAATTTCCTGGTATGTTTACTTTTATATATTTTGACACTTCTTAACCAAAATTCTGGCTCCGCCACTTACCATAACTACTTCAATATTCATGAGAACTAGTAATGACTTGAAGAGAGTCGAGTTCATGACCCTGATGTAAATTTTTTGGAGAACTTTGATTCCCTTTTCTTTGCCACTCTTTCTAATAAAATCTAGAGTTATGATACGTGGATGTGTGCACTTTCAAATGTGTTTCTTAAAATGGTTTATGGTTATGGCTTTATACAATATGAACCATGAACTTATATTTTTGTATCCCTCGCCTATTTGGAAGCGTGATAAGTTGTACAAGATTGAGCTCGCGTTTGCTTTTGGACCGAAATTCATGCAAAATGACATTCAGAAAAATTATCTAAACACTCGCATTACTTGTTAGATAACTATAGAATAAATATTTTGATAGACATTACTTGGAACCAAATAAAAATGGTAACTAACCAAATATCATATATTGAAGTTTACTGATAGTGTAATTTTGTTTACATCTTTATTCTTTAGTGTATATAACTTAAATGGCATACTCTACGAATGGGTTTTAAGCTCCTGCTTGGGTATACATTGAATTCATTAAATGGGTGTGTGTGTGTGTGTGTATGGAATGAGCAGTGAGAGAGAATTGGTCATAGATGGAGTAGATTTTCCAACTAAAGTAGGAGTAGATATACATTTTCTTCTCCTCGCGCCCTACCAATCTATCACCATTACTTAGTGTGATATCTTATCTCATAAACATAATGCAAAAAGATTTATTTTAGCGCTAAATTCTGAAGAAATAAAAGATAACCTCGAGAAAGCACTATCCTTTGTGATATAATTAGAGGTTTAAACATATTAACACTAAAAATGCAAGAATTATCCGTATAATTTAATACTATGTTTTAGAAGATTGTCTATCTTATTTTTCGGGGACTAACTCCATCAATTATGGGCTGTTACCAGTAGCTACTTTTATGTAAATTGATAGTATAAAAAGCCTTTTATACTACCGGCATTCATAAGTTAAAACTTATAATAATGTAAGTTTTCACATACCTGTCTAAAAAAAACTTCAAGAGTGGAAAGTTTGTTGATTGCAAGGGCCATTTGGCCCATGTAGTTAGCCATGTTTTGAGGGCAATTAGCCAATGCATCAGAGACAAATGTGTCTGAAAGAGACTGATTCAGAGCTTCCAGCCCTTGTGAAAGTGCACTCTCAGCTTCTTGCGTTGATTGTTGCAACCCACAAATCCCCACAAATTGTTCTTCTGTTAATGGCTCAATCTGACTCAGGATAATCTAATCATGCATCATTAGAAACAACAAATTAACCAAGATTATCTTATCGGGATATACATAAAACTCCCAAATATATACATCTAATATTCACCCATAAAAATTACGGAAAATGAAGTAGTAACAAACATGTCTTTATGTACTTCTCTCATTTTTCTTAACTTGTTCCATCACCAACTAAGTTGGATATATATACATAGTCTTCTTTGCTGAAAAGCAGAAATGAGGAAAAACAAAGACAAAAGAAAGACAAGAAAGCACAGATTTATCTTAGGCAAACTAGCCAGGGTTTCAATGATTCTTTAGTAATATCGATTACGGTGTTTGTCTTCTTTTATTATCTCTCTTAATTTCTTATAATACAGTGTAAAGAACTTTATATTTGTATCTTTTACTGTAATTTTTTATATGCCTTTCAAATATTTTGAATGATTAATTGTTGTGACTTATAGCACTTTTTATGTAATTTTTAAATTTATTTAAAAAAATTAAGTATTCCATATCTGAATATACTGTCAAAATTAAGAAATTTAAATCATGTAAAGCAAAAAGTGTAACATAAATTGAAAAAGAGGGCATAGTTATTAAGTTATACTCCATTTGTTTTAATATTCAAGATAACTAGATGTTTTACTTATTATTGGCAGTCACAAGTAATTATTTTTAAGGTGATATGATGATATAAAAATTATTTTTAGACATACTTTGATGAGCTCGGATGGCCGGAAATCTCCCATCCAAATAGAACAGCGCTCGGCCGGAGTTTTCCACATGCCGGAAACAAGATGAAAGACGTCGGATTTTGCAAGCATGCTCTTGAGGTTCATAATCTGGTCGTAATGTGTCAAACAATTGTCGACATACATCCGAAGTTCGTTCTCCGGCAAATGTTCCTCCACAACTGCACTTCTAAGCTCGCAAATGAGACGATGATGTTCCTCCACCCACCTTGCGTACTCCATATCAAAAACCGCAGCATCTAAATCCATAACAAGTTGAAAAAAACATAAAGCTACAAATATGAATATCTGCTATCTATAGTATGACAGAAGTCATTTTCCATGAAAAATATACCGTGAAAAATATTTTTTGATGTTTGATTGATGAGTGCATGCACGGGAAATATGTTTATGAAAAATGTATATTAAAGATTGGCAATAATATTTAAAATATTTTGATGAAAATTTTGAATACTCCATCTGTTTCAATTTATGTGAACTCATTTGACTGGGCACGAAATTTAAGAAAAGAGAGAAGACTTTTGATCTTGTGGTGTAAAATGAGGCACATATATTTTGTGGCTATAAATCATTGTATAAAGGTAAATTGTTTTCAAATAAGGAAAGAGGTCATTCTTTTTAGCACGGACTAAAAAGGAAATAGGTTCACATAAATTGAAACAGGGAGTAATAAATATTAATAAAAATGTCTAAACATTAGTTAGAGTTACAAGTAACATGGAGTTAAAAATCAATTACTTGTTCGAGCCTTCAGTTACTGGTATGAACAAGAGAAAGATATTGAGAAATTTTAGCTTGGATCTTCGATCTCCTATGTTAGAGACGACATAGGGTTTATTTAGGGGGAAAATATGGTAGATTTTCGGGTTTGGGGAAGGGATTATAAAGAATCCACTTTTCGACTGTTGGAATCCTCCATGTCGGCAAAGAAATCAATCTTCACATATTTTTGTTTAAAGTCACGCTATATTACAAGTCAACAGTCTGTGTTTAATTGGCACACATGCGAGGATGTTCGCGTGCCTGATAGGAAAGAGCCAAACTTTACGTGTTTATGTAAAAATCGGTGTCAAGTTCCGTTGCCTGTTCATGTATTTGGCCTAAATTTAAAATAAATTTTTAGAAAAGACCATCGGCCACAAGTGAGGGAAAAGTTAATTTTCTTCATCTTAATAGTACAAAATTCTTTTCTTTTGTAACAGAACACCTAAAAATGACTTTCCCATAATAATGAAGATAACTTCTATTATACCAAACACTTTCCTAATTTATGGGATTCAAATTGTACCTGAGCTCATGCTGCCCCTATTAACAGGTAGGGCTTGGTCTCCTCCTAAAAGAGCATTACCCCCAAAATGGAATCCCTACAAATATTTGATTTTTCTTGGGGTCATATTAAATTTTTTGTTGTGAATATAGAAGCAACACCAAATGATTCTATGAATAAAAGATTTATAATAGGATGAGCTGGTAAGGGAAATTAAATTTTATTACTTGAGATCTGGCCCTTTGTAGTTCTTGTTCTAACTGGGCAAGCCTTACTCTACTTGACTCTAGCTGCTGAATATAAGCCTGCAATGGAAGAATAAATAGATGAAATAAATTTCCATAAATTAAACAATCGCTCAAAGATGACCCTCTTGTGTTTTAACTGTCAAACCAATATAATTAGTGAAAATAATTAAGCAAATGAATTACAGTACCTTTTTCCTAAGTCTGCTTTTCCTAGCTGCTTCCCTATTCTGAGCAAGTCTCCTCAATGTCTGAAGAGAAAAGCAATTAACTAAAATTGCCAAACACAAATATTCACATAGAAATTCAAAACAAGGAGATAAGCATAATATTGCAAATCACGAGAATGACTAGTGTTACGAGATCAATTATGAGGGGAATTCTCTGAAATTATCCCAAAAAATAAATAAATAACTCGTAGAGAAAAGACATATATTTTCTCAAAAGATTAGAAACCACAAGTCTTACCTTATGATCTGGTATTTTAGGTGCATCTTTCTCTGAACCTGAATTTAGACCCTTCCTGTTCCATTCTCGCTACCACCACCAATAAAAACTTTTTAGAGGAAATTAAATAAAAAGAGAGGAAAAGGAAAAAATTATAATTTATGCGACACTATTATTTTTAGAGAAGTTAATAAAGTTCTTATTTGATCCCCATCTTCATAAATAGTTTGCCTCTCGTACTTCAAAATCCAGCCACATAAACTGGAACGGCGGAGGGTAGTATTTTGCTAAAGAAGAAATCAATAAAACATACCTTAGCAACTTTTGGTTCAGGTCCAGAAGCTGCAGAAAGAACATCATTTTTAGAATTCGTTAACTCCATTATAGACGGCTGAGATGATTTCTGGGAACCACTAGAAACCAATCCAGTATTTGCCTACCATAATCAGAAAATAACAAGCCATTAGTTCTTAATTAGAAAACAGCATGAATATGAAACTAAATGTTATATTGGCTTTCTATGCACATATAAAAGTTAGACCATCTGTCCAAGTCTTGGTAGACAAAATTACTTATACTAGTAACAGGTAGGATATTTTTCGTGAAATTAGTTGAAGTACAGGCAAGCTGTTCCACTCCAATTATCAAAAAAATATTTAACTTGTTATCCATGTTTGATTTTGTATACCTTAGTTGATGATGGCTCAACATGCATGGGCTGTGATGGGAAAATGTTCAGAGTCGGTGGTCTCATCTCAGAATTATTTTCTGCAAATTATATAAAGGAAAAAAAATTGAAGTTAAAAGCTATAAAGATCATGAAATAGAGGAAAAAGAAAATATTTCATTTGTAAATTTTACTGTACAACCTGCTTTATGAATTCTTATATCTGAAAACATAAAGGAATAGAATAAAATCAAAAAGGGAGGAAACAATATATATCTTCCCTTATAATCAGAAAAAAAAAAACTTGCTTTTGATTCTGTGAGGAAGTGGTCAAAGGACGTACTATCAGATTTTAAATTTGCCGAATGTGCGTGAGAAAAATAATTGAGCTCGTACATTTAAAAGTATAATGAATTCAAGGGTAAAAAATGCAATCAAATTTAGAATTCTGAATCGCGCCGTTGAGAGAAGAAGAAAAATGAAAGGAAGGAGAGCTCACCTCTTAGATGGTTTGAAGAAGGATCTTGACCATCAAGGTAAAGGAAAAAGGCTTGATCTAGTTCACCTAAATCATAATTAGCTCCACCAGTATTAATGTCTTTGCTTCTGCTCGTGGATCAAAAACAATAATTAACTCAAGAGAAATATTGGAGAAATCAGATTTCTGTTGTATCCCTAATTTGAATTAATCAACAAAAAGAAAAAATATAAGTACTACATAAAGTTTCCTGGAATGACAGATGATGTAGAAGATGACTGCTGTAACATTCCAAAAGAAATCTGATGCTGAGAATTATGGAATAATAAATGTTGCTGATGATCACTGCCAAAAGAAATCTGATTATCACTTTCAAGCCCCATTTTTTATAATTATTAAAACTGATAGCTTTCTCCTACACAGCTATTTATAAAATTGCGACCTCCCGAGTTCTTTATAGAGAGTTGTCTTGCTGTTCTAATATAGGTACGTCGTTTTACTCACTACATATATATAGAGATAAAATCTAAGACAGCTAGCACCAGTCGGTGAGAATACTAATTTTTGTGAAGAGAGGATAAGGAAATGAAGAATTGAATGCTAAAGAAGCAAACGGACAAAGTTAATTTAAGCTTTTAGCTAGTGAAGAAGAAGAAGAAGACGACTTTCTTTGAATACAAAAAAGAAAATATTTTCTTTTTCAGATAAAGCGGTAGGTCTTGAAGGATATCCAGAGTTTCAGCATCTCTCTCTCTCTAAAAAAAATTGTTCCAAGTCAAGTTTGGGCTCTATGGAAACGGACGTTTTTTGAGCTTCCTTGTTCGACTATCTCATTGTTGCATATTGTGAATTGACCTTTTTGCCCTTTCTCTTCGTGGTTATTATATTACATTAACATTTCATGCAGCTTTTTGAACTAATACGCAGAAGTTGAATATATGAGTATGGCATCGACTTACTGTAAGTACAATTTATAATACCCAACACAATGGCATAGATCAAGAACATTTAAAAAACAAATTAGCCGATATAACAATAACAACAACAATTTAATTGTAATGCTGCAAGTGGGTCTGGGGAGAATAGTGTGTACGCAGACTTTAATCGTACCTTGTGAAGATAGAGAGACAATTCCGAGAGACCCTCGACCCAGAAAAGTATAGTCACAATATAATTGAAAAGAAATACATCAATGGACAAGGCATGTAAAAAAAACAGTAGCAAAGAGCAGTATCAACAGCATGATAATAAGACAATCAACTATAACGACCCGACCGGTCATTTTGAGCATTTGCACTTCACTCGTAGTTTGAGAGCATGTGTAGCTCCGTATGATGTATTATGACTTATCTGAATCGTCGGTTTTGGTTTTCAGGTTACTCGGAAGTGATTTGAAAGAATGAATTTCATGTTTGAAACTTTAAGTTGGAAGAGTTGACTTAGTTTGACTTTTATGTATTTGACCCCAAAACAGAGTTTTGATGGTTCTGTTAGGTCCGGATGGTGATTTTGGACTCAGACGTATGCCCTGATTTACATTTGGATAATTCTAGAAGGATTCGCCTCTAATTGGCGAAAGTTGAAAACTTGAAGGTTTGGAAGGTTCATAAGTTTGACCGAGAGTTGACTTTGAGGATATCAGATTCGAATTAGTTGACTTTGGAATAGCTTTGTCATGTCATTTGGGACTTGTGTGCAAAATTTGAGTTCATTCCGGGTTGATTTGATATGTTTCGGCGCGGGTTTTGGAAGTTGAAAGTTGAAAGTTCATTTAGGTTTGATTTGAAGTGTGATTCGTCGTTTAGGTGTTATACATGATTTGAGGCCTCAAATAGGTTCGTGTTAGGTTATGGGACTTGTTGGTATATTCGAACGGGGTCCCGAGGGGCTTGGGTGAGTTGCGGACGTATTTCGGATCATTTTCCTTCATTTTGGCCTTGTTGGTTCCTACTGGTATCTAGTGCACCAAGTCTTCTTCGCTATCGCAAAGTTAGAGGTGCGATCGCGTAGATGAAAAATCTGGAATTGAGTAGTTCTTTCTTCACGTTCGTAAGTAGAAGTATGCGTTCCCGTTAGTTTCTGGAGATTGGGCATCGCGTTCGATAAGAGCCATTACATTCGCATAGGGCTGAGCTGAGAGCTGGAGTTGGGAGCTTCTCCATCGCGTTTGCGTATAAGGGAACGCGGTCGCGGAGTGTGGGTACCTGTGTGCTTTGCGTTTGCATGACTAGATTCGCGATCGTGTTGCATATTTGTGGACGCAGTGTAGGTTATTCATCACGAAGGTTGTTCCGCGATCGCGGTTCATTAATTTGCCCAGTGATTAAAAAGTGCTATATTTCGGAGGTTTCGACCATTTTTGCATATTTGGAGCTATGGAGTTCGGATTGATGCGATGTTTTAGGCGATTTTCACCATATAGATTGCAGTAAGTGTTCTCTACTCAGTTTTATTTATATTTCATGAATCTATCTTCATTTTTAGCATTTGGTTGATGATTTCTAAAGATAAAGTTGGGGGATTTTGACTAAAGTTTCATAGAGCGAATTCTGGAGTTTTGAACATTGATTCGGAGTAGGATTTGAGTGAAATTAGTATTGTTGGACTCGTAATTAAATGGGTTATCAGCTTTTTGTGAGTTTTTTCGGGTTCCGAGGTGTGGGCCCAAGTTTGACTTTTTGGTTGACTTTGGGCTTTTGATTAAAGATTTGACCTTTATCACTTGAAATTGTTTCCTTGGGCTTCATTTGATGTATTTGAGTTGATTTTGGCTAGTTTCGAGCCGTTCGGCGGTCGGTACATGCGAGATGGCATATTTGGAGCATCGTTTGGCTTGCTCGGTATTAGATTTGGCTTGTTCGAGGTAAATAACATTTCTAAATTTGGTGCTGAGGGTATAAATCCCTGAATATACGTGTTATATATTTGGTGTGAGGTAACGCACAAGCAAGGTGACGGGCGTGTAGGTGTGCATCGTGTGAATTATTGCTCGGTTAATTTTGTGATACTGTGTAGTTACTTAATCTTGTCTTTATCCAAAAAATTTCTACGTGATAGAGTAATAGAGATGTGATCCATGTTAGAAACCATGTTTAGGCTATATGTTTATTCTGTTGAGGGCCCACTGAAGTCATTTCAGTTGTTAAGATACTTTCTTAAATTGCAATTACATACTCAGTCATATCCATTCATTTGCATATCATATCTCAGTTTATGTTATCATTTGTTGTCACAAGATGTTATCATTGTTTGGGCTGATTGGCATGAGATTTTTGAGCCCGAGAGACTGGAGAGATTGATGACTGAGGTGGGGCCTGAGAGTCATGTTGTGAGTGAGATATGTGAATTGGGTTGCACGCCGGAACATGCCTTATGGCTATATATGGATCGGGTTGCAGGCCTTATGGCTATATGTGGATCGGGTTGCACACCGCAATAAGCCTTATGGCTATATGTGGATCGGGATGCATGCCACAATAGGTTATATTAGTGCTTGGATAGGATCTGCCCCTCCGGAGTCTGCACACCTACAACGAGCGTAATTACTGTTGATTCATGATGGGATCGGGCTGCGCGTCGCAACAGGTACCGTACAGTGTTGAGGATTGAGTGTGTTGAGTAATTGAGCGTGAGGAGTGGGAGTGTGAGACTGTGATATTGAGTACTCTGAGAGTGTGAGTACATGAGTTCATCACTGTGACGCATTGCATCTGACATGCATACTTAACATACAGGCATAGAGGTGCATTCTCATGAATCATGATACAAGGTTTTGTGACATTTATGACTTTACATGCGCATTTACATGTAGGCATAGAGATATATTTTTCTCATGCTATCTGAGATTGAATAATCTTATCTATTGTTGAAAGTTTTTGGGAAAAATCAAAGCTTTCTGACTTACTCATATTTTGGTGATTTCGGTGAAGGATTTGGGTTTTACTATTATACTTGAAAAGCATGCCTATTTTTCCATAACTGTGAACGAGTTGAGCATCACATCTTTGAGTTGTTTCTTGTACTACTTTCATTATATTTTTGTGAGTGATGTTGGCTATTGGTGTTGGACTCTGACCATTTACCCAAGCTTGTCACTACTTTCATCCTAAGGTTAGGTTTGTTACTTATTGAGTACATGGGGTCGGTTGTACTCATACTACACTTCTTCACCTTGCGTGCAGATTTTGGATGTTGATGTCGCTATTTATGGCGGGAGCTAGCATTGAATACGTACTTGTGTTTCGGTTTTAGCTACCTCTTGCTCATAGTAACTTTAGACCTATGAAAATCTGCTAATTACATTTCAAATAGATGATATATTTTATTTCATACCAGTTTTGTAAATTCTAAATCTTAGAAACTCATGATTTGTACTATTAGTCCTTGGAAAATGTATAAAGATTCAGTTATTTTATCATTTATTTGTCTCAATAAATCTCATTTGAATTGATTTATTATTAACTGGCTTACCTAGCGGGTTGGATTAGGTGCCATCATGGCTAGTTGGATTTTGGGTCGTGACAAATTGGTATCAGAGCTCTAGGCTTATTGGTTCTACCAGTCATGAGTAAGTGTATTGTAGAGTCTTGCGGATCGGTATGATGACATCCATACCTATCTTCGAGAGGCTAGAGGGCATTTAGGATAAACTTCCCATCTTTCTTTCCTTATTGTGCGGCATTGATTCAGCTTGAAGCGTAACTCTTTGAATTCTTTCCACGCATTCATATGCATATGTGAGCGCTCGATATCAGCTGTGCATCGGCATCTTGTGATTCCATGGATGATGTCCAAGATGTGATTTTTGTTTGCTGATGATGGGCCAGTCTGAAGGACTTAAGGCCGGGTTTTGACTGTAGCTCGAGCATGGGGATTTCGGGTGAGTGAGCACGTGCTTTTGGACTTATAAGTCCGACAGTGTCCCTATTAGTGGAATTTGTGGCTCGATGAGTGGTTGGATGACCATATGATGAGTATGATGTGACTGCGGGATGTGTTCGGATGGTTTGAATGTGACGGTAAGATTTTTCTTGGGATGTGAAAAGGACTATTGGGTGCTTGATTTATGTCTTGATATGACATATAGTCTCGAGTTATGAGTGTGTTGGAAGATTTTTCATGTTGTTTAATTGTGGGACGAAGTAGATTTTTAAGTCTTGTTGTGAGTTCAAACTCAGGAAGATTAAGTGATGGCGTAGTAGTTGTGGCTGTGAAAGGTTATAGAGAGATGTCGGTTTGAAGCTAAACGGGTGGGTTATCACATGCGGGGTAATTTACGGATGTGTGATCCTTATGATGTTGTGTGGAGGATTTCTTTTCTACTAGTGGGTTATATTTGTGCAATTTGAGTTTGGATCTGTTGTAATAATTGACATGACCATCACATGGATGCATGCGAGTTTAGTAGATGATTTGAGGTACTATATGGTTTGTTATGTGAGCTTATGAAGGATTTAGTTGAATCTCCCTGCGGTATTATGGTAGTAATAGAGTATGGGTATTGCGAGTTATCGAGTGTTTGATCTATGGCTTTGATCCAAGTAGGGGAGTCGGCTATCAACAATTTTATTTCATGGTTATATGTTGTAATGGTTTTGGTTTGAGGCATACTTGTGAATCAATTATGACTTGCAGAGGTTGAGATCGAGGATGACTTGAGTAAGGGAATTTCCGGATACAGGTTATATTATACTTTATTTGTATATGGAAATCGTGGAATGATTTGAGTTGTTATTCCTAACGGATGGAGTGCGCATAGAGTAGGAATTTACTCGGTTGCATTAAGGCGGAGTTACTTCTTTGGGTGTTATT